GAGTTAATGGGCCTCTGACCCACTTTTCTAGCAGACTCGTTACCTCTTATTTACCCTTGAAGATGCCGACACTGATGAGCAGAGAAGCTTCACAGAAGGGAGGAGACGGGATCTGTGTCTGCCGCCCACTGTCAGTGAACTCTGCCTTAGTGAGCTAATGGTGGAAACGGGCCAGCAGATTGGATGTACTGACCCCAGCATCGTGTCCAGCAGGGAGACAGAGCTACCACATTTACACCTGTCTCAGCCTTGCCTAGCTTCAACATGGCCCCATTCCAGCCACCCAATGTGGTGGTTAGAGGAGAAGGGAGCAGACCCCAAGTGTTCCCCCTGACATTCCGTCAAAGGATGATTGCAGGCCAGTGGGTTAAATAGGAGGCTGGGCAGCCCACTGCCTGTGCCCACCGAAAGCCGGACTCCTGTGTGTAGGCAGCACCAAAGAGGCCAGGGATGGGAGCTGTAGTTGGGGTCACTCTGCAGACAGTGGGAGAGCTTGGATATTTTACATGGCAGGGTGATGTGAAATGACTCCCACAGCTTACATTCCCTGGAACCAGTCACTGCTCTTCTCTTGGCCTCAGTTTCCCCATTTGTTAAATGAGGGTGCTGAAGCAGATAATGCAGAAGTGTGATGTCCGATATGGTGGCCACCAGCCACATGTGACTACTGAGCACTAGAAATGTGGCTATTCCAAATTGACATGTGCTGTAAGTGTAAAATACACGCTGGGTTTCTAAGACTTGGTACCAAAAAAAATATACACTAATACGTTTTTATATTGATTACATATTAAAATTATAATATTTTGGGTATATTAGGTTGAATAAAATATGGTATTAAAATTAATTTTACCTGTTTCTTTTTACTTTATTTATTTACCACTTCTCTGCTATCTAGAGTTTTTGCCTCCCCACCCCTCCTCTCCCTCTTAACCATCAAAGATTGTTTCTTTCTGTGTAGAAACCTTTTTATGTTTTTACAATAGTCATCTCATACAGTATTTGTCCTTTTGTGATTGACTTATTTCACTCAGCATAATGCCCTCCAGATTCATCAGTGTTGTGAGATGTTTCACAGATTCATCATTGTTCTTTCTCGTTGGGTAGTACTCCATTGTGTGTATGTACCATAGTTTGTTTATCCATTTGTCTGTTGATGGGCACTTGGGTTGTTTCCATCTTTTTGTTATTGTGAACAGTGCTGCAACGAACATGAGTGTGCATATGTCTATTCATGCGACAGTTTTTATTTTCTTTTTACTTTATAATGTGGCTGCTAGAAATTTTTAAATGACATCTATGACTCTCATATTTCTATTGGAAAACATTGCCCTCCCTACATTTTTCAAGGAGTGTGTGGATGTGGGTACTCTGTGTGTGTGTGTGAGTGTGTGCGTATTGTGGGTTGAAGTTTGAAACTGGCAGGTGAGCACAAGTGTGCACATGTATGTTGTGCACACATGCACGTATGTGTTAGGCCATAGTGCAGAAAAGAGGATGTGGGAGAAGTCTCATAGAGCAGGGTTGGGCTCCTCTACCACGATTGACATGCTATGGCCCTCCATCCTCCTTCTGGGGCCTCATAGAAACCTGGGGGGTAAGGGTTCTGGCCCCCATTTTATAGATAAGGAAAATGAGATCCAGAAGACACCAGTCTGGGTGTTAGGCACCACCCATTCCTACTTCCATGGGCACCCACAACAGCAAAGAGGCAGGTTCCAAGTGAAGGGTGTAGAGGAAGAAGACACATTCTGGGGGCTGTGCTGGCTGCTCTGTCATGCGTTCTCTCCCCTAATAACCCTCACAACAGGCTGAAGGGTACACAGGAGGAAACGGAGGTGCAGAGATGGGAAGTAGCCTCACCCACATAACCATCATTCTCAGGCACCACCCTCCACCCAACGGCTATACAAACTAATAACGGAGGAGGGGTTCCCTTGCCTCCTCCCTCTCCCTCACCCCCAAGTCCACCCGTCACCAACTCCTGTGGGGCCCACCTCTTTGATTCCTCTCTCCACATCTACTGGCCCCACCCCACCAAAGTCAGGCCGTCATCATCGCTCCCTATCCATTCTCCCCACAGCTACCAGAGGGAGCTTTTCAAAACACAAAATAGATTTTGACACTCCCCTGCTTCGAGCCCTCTGTTGGCCCTCATTGCTCTCAGGATAAAGACCAAAAACCCTAACAAAAGCTCCCAGGCCCTACCTGCTGTGGCCCCAGCCCATCTCTCCAACTTCATCTCTTACCACATTCCCCCTCAATCACTTGGCTCCAGCCCCACTAGCCTTGTTGAGCTCCCCAAATGTAACACGATCCTTCCCACCACAGGGCTTTGGCACATGTTGTTTCTTCAGCCTGGAATACTTGTCCCTCCTATGTTTGCCTAGTTACTGTTGACATGTTTTGCAGCTCAGCTCAAATTCCCTTCTTCTGGGAAGCCTTCCTTGACTAATCACGAGAATAACAATGATGATAATGATGATGATGACAGCTCAAGTTGGTCGCATTCTTACTCATACATATTGTTTATATCCACCAGAGAATATTGGTTAAGGACAGGAAGCCTGAGGACAGTGAAGTTGAAATACAAGTTAATGAGCTTCCCTGAAATGACAATTCGCTACATTTGCCTTGTGGTCCCTCTCATTGGTGCCATCTGATCGCAGTCCTTATAAAGTTCATCTGTATGCCTCTAGCACCTCAAAAACCAATTATAAAGAGAGAAAATACAGGGATGAGTACACCAAGTTGGCTTTCATTTATTAGAGGGAAAAAAAGCTATTCACACTCCTGATGTATTCTTTGACAAGTGCTTACCAACACCAGCCTGAAGCCGTCTCTCCTACTTAGCCTATTTGAAACAAAACCTCAAAATTATCCAATAAGCCAGTGGTTTTTATTTTAGGCACAAAATGCCACAATCCCTAACATCAGGCCAGTAAAGCAGTTTTTCTGTTTTGACGTTGAACACATGATTAAATGTCAATCTACATTCTAATATGCATTTGTTCCCCAAATCAAACATGGTATGCTCATTTTAAAATGTATTTGTCAGCAAACTGTGCAATTTGATACATAATTAATTAAGAATAAATTAATTGTGTGAATCTCTTTTTAAAGGAGTGAGACAATAAACATCTTTCTATATTGTATACGTTGTATTAAACATGAACTTTGTAATACAAAGCTGATCTAAATAATTAACTACTTTCTAACATATATCACATTTTAAAGAATGAAACACATTATACCTCTTCTAAGAGGGTTAGCTAGATGTGAATGGGAAATGCAGTTAGGGGAAAGAAGCCTACAGAGAGGACAAGACTGGTGACTTCATGCAGCTGGTCACTCTGGGCAGAACTGGGGCCACAAGCCAGGTCACCTGCTAACTAGCCCACAGCCCAACCCCTTCTAAAACACCCATTTCCTCCCCTCCAATCTCTAACCTAGAGGGTTTCTTCCACTCAGCAGCCACCCACTTCTACTCTCACTGGCATCTCACAGCTCTGCTGGGCACATCCTCGGTCCTGTGGCTCCCTCCCCTCCCGCAGGACAGTCTCTCCTACCAACCTTCCCACCATCAGAGCTCATCTGAGTCCGAGTCCTCGTTGCCTGCTGAGTGTAGTTATTTAACTGTGTCATGCCTGAGCCTCTCATCTCCCTCCCCTCGCTGCACTGTGACCTCCTCCAGAGCGCTTGCTGTCCAGCCCAGGGGAGGGGCTCACTGGAAATAAAAGCTGTGCCAGCCCTTAGCAACTGCGGGACTGGGGTTTCTCCTGAGCCAGCCACACCCACTTCCTAAGAGACAAGGTCCCTGGGTCCAGCAGAGCCACAAGTGTGGGCAGAGGCCTTGTTTACAACTGTATGTGCTTGAGAGAACTCAAGCAAATCATTTCACCCCCGGAGCTTCAGTGTGCTCACCTGTCAAATGGGGAGAAGGAAGCTCCATATTCCCAGAGGTCAGCTTTGGAAGTTGGCCTTACTGTCACCAAATATATCTGGGTCTGACCTTGGCTCCCACCTTCCCCACTTCCATCCTAGACCAAGCAGCCAGCATCTCTCACCTGGGCTTCCTGCATCCACCCTGACCCTCACCTTCCATCTTTTCTGGAGCCCGAAGGATCTTCTACAATGTCAGCTCATGTTACTCCTCTACTCCAATCCCTACAATAGCTCCCCATTTCCTTACGCAGAGTCCTTCATACTCTGACCACTGTTAACCTTGCCAGGGTCATCTCACCCCTACCCCCACCCCCCCACACACGGACTCTGGTACCACACCTCAGCGGGAATGTTAGTTTTCTTTTAGTTCCACAAACATCTGGTATTTCCCACCTCTGAGCCTTAGCACATGGCCTGGAACACTCTTCCTTCCCCATCTTCACACAGCCACTCCTCAGCATCCTTCAGCTCTCAGCCTAAAATGTCGCTCCCTCAGAGAGGCCTTCCCTGACTGCCCTGCATTTGTTACAGTTGTTGCATTAGTAACCATGGGTAATTGATTTATGGGCAGTTTATTTATTGTCGGTGTTACCCACAATATCTGTCCTCTTCTCTGCTGTTTCCCCAGTGCCTGAGATAGTAGTAGATGCACAATAAATATTTGTTGAATAAATGAATGTAAATGAACAGCTAGGGGTGATTTTGCCTGGTGCCCCATGAAGGCCTTGGTGAAGATGATGGGCAGTTGTTTATAAATCACACAAAGCAGATTCACAAGGGCTGAATATGTGAATCAGAGCTTGAACCTTGAGGAGGTTCTCTGTAGTTTGTTCTTTACCCAACTTAAGACCTCAACTCTGTAGACCCTGCCTCATTTCCCCCATCATTCACCCTTAGGTAGATTCTCGACTTGCTTTAGTCAAGCTGGTTAAGGACTGGGACCATCTATGCTGTTAAAAACAGAATAGGACAAATCATTCCCCTGACCTCAGTTTGTGGGTTGTTGTTAGTTCTGTGACACCGATGTACTACCCCCTCAGAATGTCACCAAGAGAGCAGTGGTGGTTCAGTGGTAGAATTCTCGCCTTCTATGTGGGAGACCAGGGTTCAATTCCCTGCCAATGGAGCTCAAGCTCAGCCACTACCCCATCTGTCAGTGGAGGCTTTCGTGTTGCTATGATGCTGAACAGATTTCAGCAGAGCTTCCAGACTAAGAAGGACTAGAAGAAAGGCCTGGCGATCTACGTCAAAAGTCAGCCAATGAAAACCCCATGGGATCACAACAGTTCAATCCATAACCGATCATGGGAATGGTGTAGGACTGGGCAGAATTTGGTTCCATTGTGCATGAGGTCAGCATGAGTTGGGGGCCGACTTGACAGCAGCTAACTATGACAAATGCCACCATGCTAAAGAGATTGTGCTGTGGTCTGAGCCTCCATATCCTTGATCTGTAAAATGGAGATTCCATCCACCTCACAAGGTAGTGAGGATAAAATGAGAGGATATAAGAAAAGAACTTTACTCATTGCCTGGCACATGGAAGGCTTCAGATTCATGTTAGCCTGTCTCCAGTCCCATCCCCTCTTCACCCTTAGCAGTCCTCCGAATTGGGAAGATTCTGGAATGCAGATTGTGTCTCTCAGTATTCAGAAACAATTACCAAGTTTCTGAGGGTGTCTGTCTACCTCTCGGGGCCGTCAAGAGTCTTAATTAATTATGATCTGAAAGTATTTGATGTTCCAGGAATAAAAAGGCACGAGGGAGCCCAGACTATTTTCAGGAACATTAATTATTTAATGAACTTTATTTGTAGAAAATTGGGACTAACTGTTAAATATAAGTTTACGGCTCGAAGCACTACGATTATTTTAACCCTAAATCCAATCCTCTCTCACCCGTGATCAAGAAGAGGTTGTAGGTGTAGCAGAGGAACGAGAAAGTCCTATTCTGAGCTCTGCCATGCGCTTGTTCAAGTATGACTTTTGGTAGGTCACTTCCCCTCTCTGGGCCTCAGTTTCATCATCTGCTAGGGCCTGGACTGGATGATTTCCCAGGTGCCTAAGCTCTGACACTTTCTGGAAGCATAGATGAACACCACTAGAACCAGAATCATCTCAGGATACTTCAGAAATACCGCACCCTAGGGTCTACTTCCAAAGTTCTGACTCGCTGGGTCTGGGGTAGATCTCAGAATCTGCATTTTAACAAAGCTAGAATGAACGTGTCTCCAGGGTTTTGAGGAGAGTGGCAGTAACTCTGAGATATGGAGGCTTGGGGGCCTTCAGAGGAGATTTGGACATGAAAGGTGTCTGTTTTTATTACATGCTGAAAGGACATGTTAAACTAGATTCAAAGGAATTTGCCCAAGCCTTGATTTTCCTATCATCAAAGTTCATGTTGTTAATTCCGGGGTCAGAAACGTAAAAATTTCTCCTTGTAATTAGCTCCTAACAGGTTCACTATGGTGACTCCACAAAGAGAAGTCATAATTCTTGTCCCCAGGAACTGGAGATGAAACACACACCCAACTCAGCTCTGTGCAGAAAATTTACATATAAGAAATGTTCTGAACACACAGAAAAGAAGTTTGCATCTGAAAACCTTGGAGCCGGAAGTTATGCATCCATCTGTCCATCCATCCAACCATTTATTTACCCATCTATTCATCCATCCATCCATCATCCATCCATCCATCCATTTATTTACCCATCTAGTCATCCATCTATCTGTCTATCCATCCAACCACCCAATCACCCACCCATCCATCCATCCATCTATTCATTCATTCATCTATTTATCCATCCACCCATTCATCCAACCATCCAAGAAATATTTGCTGAGGATCTACTATGTGCCAGACACTGGGGATACAGATGGTCAACAAGACAGTTTGGTCTCTACCTTCCTGCATTTACATCTCTCTTGAAGGATGTAGGCATTAAACAACTAAAACCGAATAATTACAAATTGTGAAAAATGCTATGAAGGAGTCATATAAGTCTCTGAAATAGAGAATGGCATCGTGGGAAAGGAAGAAACCTATTTTGAGAGAGAGGTCAGGGAGACATCTTCCAGAGGCGACATTAAAGCCGAGACCTGAAGAGGAGGAGGCAGCCATATGAAAAATCTTCCAGGCAGAAGGAACAATAAATGCTAACACCCTAGGCATGAACATGAAACACTCTCTAGTCCACCTCCCTTCCCAAGAACCCTGGTCAAATGATCCTCTGGCGTCTGTTAACATACTTTAGGTGACAGGGAACTACTGCCTCTAAGAACTGCCCACTCCATTGCTCAGGACTTTTCTGGGTCAAAGTTCTTTCTCATATAAACCCCATAACATCACTAACTGGTTCAAGTTATTACCCTAAGTCCACCCGAGTTACTCTAAGCTAGTCCACAGGACAGTCTTAAGCAGCTGAAAATGACAATAATACCCTAGGTAAGCTTTGCTCTCTTTGCCTTGTGCACCAACGTACTCCTTCAGCCATGCCCCACAGGCATCCTAGCTTTCCATGGCATCTGTTCCAGTGAGTCCATATTCTCCTTATCCTGTGAGCACAGAACTGATGAGGTCTGACCAGGATTCCAACAAGTGGGACTCTCCCCTTTACTCTGGGCTTTATACCTCTTTTAATGCAGCCTTTTGTTCATCCTTTATATTGATCAAGTAGTGATCATTGCCCAGAGGAAAATTTGGCTCTTGTTTAGTTTTAACTCTTCAAACTCCAGTTACCCCTGTCCATGCGTATCTCATCTGCCATTTTCTATTGATTAAGGCAGTAAAAAAGATCTGTTGAGTTTCGAGGGTAAGGGACATGAACTCCACTCTTGATGGGGAGTTTCCAGGTCACATTGTGAGAAATGCATGTGGGATGGGAGACATTGTTACAGCCTTCTTCGGGAAATACAATCCACTACAGCTTGGAAAGAAAAGAATACTAGAAACAGCTAAGATTTACATAAGTGTGGACATAGTATCAGGGACAGGGTCAAAAGTGCAGTGGGGTAATATGAGGGTGGCGCCATGGGGAGAAAGAGCCCTGGTGGCACAGAGGTTAAGCTCTCAGCTGCCAATTGAAAGGTTGGTGGTTCAAACCCACCAGCCACTCCACAGGAGGAAGATGTGGCCATCCTAAAGATTACAGCATTGGAAACCCTATGGGGCAGTTCTACTCTGTACTATAGGGTTGCTATAGGTTGGAAGCAACTCCATGCCAAGGGGTACGGCCATGGGGAGTGGCCAGAGAAGATGCTGAAAGAAAGCCTCAGAGATCATTACAAGGGGGCTTGAATGCCAAGCTAAGAATCAAGGCTTTTATCTTGTATACAGGAGACTAGCAATGGGCAAAAGAGACAGTCCTGGGGTTTATTTCTGGGGTGAAAATGGCCCCAAGCCCAGACATGAAGCAGTTACATTGTCCAATGCATGTGTCACAGAGACAGCAGTAAATGAATGGCAGAACAGGCATCAGAACCAGGCCCCTGACTCTCCCTTCCAGGGATGGATTCTCTCCCACCCTATCCTACAGCTTGCTCCCCCCACCTCCACCAGAGTGAAGACTCATCTCTGTAGCCAAGGTATGGTATCCTGAGAGGGACTGAGTTCATCCAAAATAAGCTGCATCACATTCCCACAGGAGGAATGGATGTCTCCAAAAGCTTGGCTTCCTTCTACAAAACCGCGAGTGCTATCTGACCTGATGTGACATGTACTGTCTCCTTCTGAACCTGGCTTATGGCCTGAGTTAGAATCACCTCCACCTTCACCTCTACCTGAGGGCATCACAATATGGGATAGAAACTATCTTCACACCTATTATTCCAGAAACTCCTCACAATAACCTTCAAGGAGGTATCTTTGTACTCCCATTTAACAGAGAAGCAAACTGAGGCTGAGAGAGGCTGCACAACTTGTCCCAGTTGCCTCAGTCAACAGAGCTGAAACAGCCTCTCTCCTGTGGGAGGTTGGAGGACATCCTCTGAGGATTTGGGGAGTGGAGGTGGCCACACCCTGGGCCAATGGTGGAAATGTCTTGTTCTCCCTTTGTTACCAAGTAACTCCTTTTCCTCCTTCTCTCCTTCTTTCTTTCCTTTTCCTCCACCTTCTCCACCCCCTTTGCCTACTGTTAGCCCTTTGCTCATCCTCTGTTTTCCTTCTCTTTCCTTTCTCTCTCCTTATATCTTACACCCACAGAGGCTTCTAAACAGAACCCTCATCCTCTCACCTCTACTCAATAACCCCAGAAGAGTTCCTCATTGCCTTGAGGACATGCCACTGGGCTCCGGCAAAGGGGCATCTGCCTTGGACCCTGGCTTTAGAGGACCCCATTCTGGCTACACTGGCTACAAAGTCCCAGCTCCTCAGCTGTGAGGTCAATGCTTTTGTGTCTGACCAAATCTCAATGCTTTTGTGTCTGACCAAATCTCAGCCTGCCATTGTTTCTTGCCTCCCCACCTCTCTCCTGCGCATCCTCTGTGCCAGCCAGAGATGCCCCACCAGGCCACACTTCTCCAATCTCTGTGGCTATGCACATGCTGTGCCCTTGGCCTGGGTATCTGCCTTTCCCTTGTACACCCGACAAACTTTTTCCTGTCCATCAGGAGTCACTTTGGATGTCCCATCTGCTTCTGTGAGGCCTTTTACAGGGTGCCTACTATGTCGGCGTTCCCCAGGATCACCCTCAGGTTTGATGATTCAATGGGAGGACTCACAGAACTCAGCATATAGTCATACTCACAGCTATGATTTATTATAGTAAAAGGATACAAAGCAAAATCAGCAAAGGGAAAAGGCATGTGGGGCAAAGACTAGAGGAAACCAGGCAGAAGCTTCTAGAGTCTCCTCCTAGTGGAGTCATACAGGACACACTTAATTCCCACAACAACAAGTTCTGACAACAACATGTATGAAATGTTGTCTGCAAGGGATGCTCATTAGAGACTCAGTGTCCAAGGTTTTTATTGGGGGCTGATCATGCAGGCACTCTCTGCTGAGCATGACTCAAAATTCCAGACTCCCAGAAGGAAAGCAATTGTTCGGCATAAACTACATTGTTTGTAGAAACAGTTTAGGTACAGTAAGCCACTCTTATCAGTTAAAGTGGTGGGAACCCTCCCAAA